AAACATAGTCATAACATTTTATAACTATAAATGAATAAATAACTATTGGTATTCTACATTGCCACACGTGCAATCGCTTGCAATCAATATTCTTCTATAATTAAACAACTTTTGTTACAGCTTTTGCTGAGACTGTAATTATAACTTTAATTCACTATGCAATTTATGTATAAAGAAAATTATTATTAATTATAAAATGGAACTCGCAATAAATGTGAAATATAATATTTATGAGCTCGTGTTTGCTAATTTTAAAACCTTATCTATTTTTAAAACATTTCTTTTGATGACACAATTTATTACATAATGGTGTAGGGTTCGTCTATTAAGGACGCCAAGCAGAATTTAAATAATAATTAGAAGTAGAAGATCATTAGCTCTCTTCTGCTGAGATTTTCATTGAATATAAATTGCTATATTTAGGGATTGCAATGCCACATTGTAAAATCCTACATTATTTTAGCGCATGCAAGATCCCGCAAAAACTACCGTGGGATCCACGGGATTTGTAAGATCGGCAGGACTTGCTGAGTTTTGAAATTATTGATTTTAAATAAAAAAAAAAGGATTTCTTTAAACAAAACAGACAAAAAAGATATCAAATTAAAGTATTTAATATATTTGCGTAACAAATCCATTTTAAAGTTTACTAGTCATAAAATGCACAATAAAATGTATACTGAGAAACTCGTTCAAATTTTTTTTGTTTTGTTAATGAGTATGTTGAAATTTTTGTTGATGAGTATGTTGAAAACGTGAAATTGAAAATGTGAGTGCATAATAATAAAAAATATAGTGCACTACTATTTAAAAAGACTTCAAAAATTATTTACATCAAGATTTTAAAATGGAAAAGTCAAAGAATTGTTTACTACAAATGAAAACTGCGAAGAAGAAGATGAACATAAGAACACTGAGGATGATAAAGTTATAAATAAAGAATATGGTTTGACAGAAAATTTTTTATCGACCATCAACTGAATTGGTTAACAATTACAAAGATATCATAAAAAAAGTGAGAAAGGTTGTGAAAATATTTAAAAGCTTTCCTGTCAAAAATGACACATATTTACAGAAGTATATCCTACATGAACACGACAAAAAGCTTAAGTTGATTTTTGATTGTAAAACTAGGTGGAACAGCATGTTCGATATGTTAGAAATATTTCATAGAATAAAAGTGTGTATTGAAAAAGCCTTAATTGATGTTGGGTCAGAAATTCGTTTCACCCAAGAAGAATGGTGGGACCATTCTTCTTGGATGAAACGAATTTCTGATCAATGACTTAATCATTTGCCTGACACCAATAAAACTTGGAAACAACTTTTCAATTTATGTTAGATAAGTTACAAAAGCAATCATCACTTTTGAGCATTAATTTAGCAGCGGCACTTCATGAGAGGTTGTTTACACAACGTCGTAATAAGAATTTGAATGGACTACTGGTTTACTTACAAAACCCTAAAAAATATAACCAAGAAATTTAAAAAAATAAAAATATTTTTTCAATGCCAAAGAGAACCGTTATTTGTCGAGAAATAAAATATATATATATTTTTAATTATCTTCGCTTCCAACAAGGCTGCAAGCAACCACTAATTAGTGTTGGAAGTTACTGGAAGAGAAAAGATGAAGATTGTAGAGCAAGATAACGATTGACAGACGCCTTAAAAGATTGCAAATTATATGAATCAGGAAAGCAAGATAAAGGAAGCGAATTCCAAAGAACTGATGTTCGAGGAAAAAAACTAGACGAATAAGAGTTATTGGAGCACTTAGGAACAGTAACAGAAAAAGGTCGAGACTTAATTGGATGACGAGTAACACGAGAATGAATTTTAGTAGATGGCACAAGAGACGCTAGCTCTTTAGAGCAGTGCCCATTATAGTATTTGTAGAAAAGAGAAAGAGAAGCAACATTACGACGATGTGACAGAGGTTGAAGGTTGGCTGCAAGAGCAGGTCCAACTATGTTTACAATGCGTTTTTGCATCATTAGAAGATCCGCCCCAGATATGGCAACAGTATTCCATACAAGGCCGGATTTGAGATTTATAGAGATAGAGAATAGAATCCAGAGTAAGAAAGTGACGAGCTCGATAAAGAGAAGCAACTTTAGCAGATGCTAATTTTGCAACCGATTTGATATAAGGTTTCCAAGAAAGATCAGAAGTAAGAGTTAATCCTAGAAGATGAAGGGTAGGAGACTCATCGAGTACATTACCGTTCATAAATATAGGAAGGTCTAAATTATTGCGATAATTACTAAGAGTTTATACAATTAAAATGAAATGAAGACGAAGAAAATGAACTCGAAGAAAAAGAAGCTGTAGATTCTGTTAACAATTCACAAATACTCACTCCTACAATTCTATCGCTGAAAAAAGAATTGGAAAACCATCTACAGAAAGACAAGAAGAGCTGAACAGAAAATGTAAAGGAGATAAACTATTGAAGCAGGAAATGTCTGCCTATTAAAGTATTGGAGTATAGGGCAAGTTTCTAGTTTTAGCTTATAGTTTTTTGATAATCATATGACCATCAAGCGTAGAGGCCGAGCAAGCTTTTTTAGCTGCTGGCTATATATACAGTCCTTTGAGGAGTAGATTATGTGACGATACTTTAAGTAGGGTCTGGTTCTTAAGAGCGTGTTTCTTACAATGAATTTCTCATATTTGATATTTTTAAAAATAAGTAAAGCTAAAAGACGTGTACATATCTTTTATCTTACCTTTTTGTTTATTAAATGTTATGAATTATTTTGATTTACAAATGAATTTTTTTCTGAAATACTTGAAAGAAAATTACAATTGTCATTTTGCCTTTTATAACGTGCATAAGAAATCTACCAATCCCGCACTGGATCTCGGGGGATCCACACACAAATTAAAAAATCCGCGTGGATCCCGCAAGATTATTACTATACTACAGTAAAAAAGAAATTCAAAAGAATACTCTTGAAATAAAAGCGGCAACAATATATTAAAATTAAAAATAAATCAACTATATTATTCTTAATAATAATTAATTAATATACGCTGATTGTTTTATAAGAGAAAAATATATAATTCCTAATATATGTTTGGAAATCAGAGCTTAATTTGCCATGTCATTATGAAACCGCATTTTATTTTCATCTTCAGTGTTACAGACAGTATTTTATTTTACTTTTGGAGCTGTCTAGTCAATGTATGCAGCGCTGAATTGGAGTAGGAAAAAATAATATAAGAAAATAAGAAAAGGACCCCACGCATTCTCAAAATACATTTTAATCTCAGCGGAGGGAGAGGGGGGATGATTAGGAAACATTTTAACAAGCTCCCAATTTCGTTAAAATGCTGTATCAAATTTATTCCTGATTAACACCCTGTATATATATATATATATATATATATATATATATATATATATATATATATATATATATATATATTTATTTTATATATATATATATATATATATATATATATATATTTATTTTATATATATATATATATATATATATATATATATATATATATATATATATATTTATACACATATATAAACATAGCACATAGCCACAATAAGTCTTAGTAATAAACTGGTTTTCAACCACTCTATCTAATGTAATGTTATTTTTAACAAATCAAAGAAAAACCAGTTTTCAGGTTCAAGGAATCTTTAATTATTATATAACTTGCAAGCTTTGCTGTTTGAGCTAATTCAAGAGCTAATTTATGTAATTATTTACAGACAAACACTTATCAGCTAGGCACATAACCACAAATTTTTCATTTTAATACCAATTGTTTTTTGTTTTTTTAAAGAGTCTTCAGCACATATTTCACGAATCAGTTTTCTTTATTGCAATTATATTATATTGAAGCTAGATTTTTCTCATTAGGTTTTTGAATAAAAATAGGAACAATATCACACTTTATATATTTTATAAAAAAGATACTGTCTTATTATCTTCATTATAGCAAGTATCTAAACATTTTATTGTCTCCTCAAACTATTCACCAACCTTCGTTTGTTTCCTAATGGTCACAAGTCAAAAATCAAAGGGTTACGAGTGAAAAGTTATAACAGAAAATACAAATATGCGCTTTTTTAAAGTAATCAAAAAACTGTTTAACAATCAAGCAAAACCAAACATCAAAAAGGATTCAAAGCCATTTCAAAAAAAAATTGTTGAATCATGTGGAAGTTTCTAACGAACAACAAAAAGTAAAATTTGAACCAGATAGTAAAAGCAATGCAAAGGTTTGTTTAAAAATAAGTAAAGATATTTCTGGAATCAAGGTAAATATTTAATACAGTAAATTGCAATAAAATTGGTGACGCAATAATAACTTTTTTGTCTTGGAGACGCTGTTTGCTATTCAAGAATAAGTAGTGTTTAGAAATGTTTAAAGTGATGTTTTCATCAATTTAAACCATTTCAGATAACAACATCAAATTTAAATTTTAAACATCTGATATGTTAGTATTTTCTTCATCTAATAAAGGATGCATGGTAAATTTTTTTACCATGAGACAACTTCCTATTTCAATACATTAAACCACAAAAAAATAAACATGAAGCTATATTAATTGTATAAATATTTGGAAAATTACACATAGCATAACCTCTGTAAGACAGTTTTCTTAATAAGCAATTGTGTTATGGGTTTTATATTATGTGTTGTGTGTTATAATTCTTTTTCAAACATAAAATAACTTCACAAAGAAATTTTTTTTTTCAAAAATTGCTTGTTGACATTATTTTTATTTGCACAAAAAAATTTAAAAACTTCACAAAATTTTTTTTTTGACTCCTTCCTCTCCCTTCTCAACAACCCAAAATTATACATCATGACTTTAAATGGGTAGGACCAACCATTATCATCATCTTTACTAAAAAAAAACTAAAATTATATAGATCAAGATCTATATAATTTTAGATTTATATAATTTGATCTAAATAATTTTAGAATTTAAAAATCTAAAATTATATAGATCAAGGTACACAATTAACACTCAAAGTATTTTTGAAATATTTGTAAGTGACCTTGCCCACACCATACATAAAAAAACTTTAATTTTTTGTATTTTCAGACTGCTAGGATCAAGTTTATATCTGTGCTGTTGGAGGAGTTTTTTTTTTTATTTGGAAAAAAAGTGTTAATATTTTCTGTTAATACAAGTAAAAGTTCATCTTTTGTCGCTATGCCATTTCCGCAAATTTGAAATGTGCTTCTTAGTCATACCTACATATACAATATATAAAATATATATATATATATATATATATATTATATATATATATATATATATATATATATATATATATATATATACATAAATATATATATATATATATATATATATATATATATATAATATTTAAAAAAAATTTAACTGTATATAAACAAAGTTTCAAAGGAAATAGAACCTACAACTAAAGTTATATCAGCATCATTTTGTTTTGAACTATCACAACTCAAAGTATTCTTGATACTGTAATCCAAAAGTAAAGAATCAAAATCTTTATGGGGAATCTTATTAAAAACATCAGAATGATCATCAATATCTCTTTGTACATCCTCCATGATTTTTACATCCTCATCAAAAGATGATGACCAGCCAGTCCATTCTTGACCAGCAAGCCTGTTACCAATAGGCTTCTCATTCTCAACAATTTGATTGGAGTTAACACTTTCAGCAAGATCTTCTGTCATACATTCAAGATTCTTAAACAAAAAAAAATTCAGGGACCATTGCGATAGAAAAACACAAAAAATAAATTAAACCTTTTTAAAGTACAATAATAATAAATTACAAAACTATAAAACAAAGACAAAAAAGATAATCATAAATCAAAAAAAAAATAAAAAGGTAAAAAAAAAAAAAAAAAAAAAGAGATAACAAATAGGTATTTAAAACTATTGTTTTGGTCAGTTAATAAGTGAAAGTATCTATAAGTTTTGTCTAAAAACAGGAAAGAACTTTTCAAGTTTTTGTAAGCTTTTTTCAATTGACTAATTTGAACTAATTAGATTAGGAAGAAACTAATACAAATCTTGCATTTAAATACTATAGGTGTTTTAAAACAAATACAACAAGCTGATCATCTGTTTCTAATTAAACCTACAGATGAGCAGGTGCACATTTGTGAAAATCTGAAGCAACTATTTTGAAAACTTTACATATTTACAATTTATGTATATTTATTTATACTATTTTATGATAACACACTCATATAATACACATTCACTTTTTAATATACTTTTGATCATATTTTTATTCCTTATGTTTTGCATGATAAAAAGATTATATTTATTAAAGTAGTTTTGTAAGTTTTGTTGAAATTTTTTGAATATTTCATGTTATTTTGAAATTAACTGATGTTTATATAAAAACTGATGTTGATATAAAAACTTTTTTTAGAAAAAAATAAAAAATCAAACTATGTCATTACAATTAATTATTTTACAAACTGTATCATCCTCCTACTCGTACAACATCATCCTCCTTCTTGTATCATCCTCCTACTAGTATCATCCTCCTTCTTGTATCATCATCCTTCTCGTATCATCCTCCTTCTCGTATCATCCTCCTACTTGTATCATCCTCCTCCTCATATCCTCCTCCTCCTCATATCATCCTCTTCCTCCTATCATTCTCCTTCTCGTATCATCCTCCTTCTCGTATCATCCTCCTTCTCATATCATCATCTTACTTGTATCATCCTCCTTTTCATATCATCCTTCCTTCTTATATCATCCTCCTACTTGTATCGTCCTCCTTCTCGTATCATCCTCCTACTCATATAAAGAAATTTTAAATTAATGCTGATATTAAACCATCTTTTGTTAGTTTATGTTGATAATGCATATTAACAGGGTGTTAGCAAGTAATAGTATTTTTTACCATATTACAACTTTAGAGTATTTTTAATAGTTTTAAAAGTTGTCTATCAATTATACAGTGTATTTTAATAAAAAATGATTAAAAATAATATACTTAAATAAAAAAGAATGTTATCTAATTTTTAAAATGTTTTTTAGAACAATTTTTTTTTGCTTAAAAATAAATTGTTTAATTATAATCAATATAATAGTATTTAAATTATTTCTGAAAAAGTTTGGGTAGACAAGGCATTTATCTTGAGATTTTTTACTTAGATACTTGATAGAATGAGAATCTTTCTGGAAATAATTAAGTATACTAACTTTTTTAAATGACTAGTTAGTTGACAATTGTATCCTTACAAAAGAGATGCATTTAGATAAAATAAAAAAAGAGTTTTTTTTTCTTATTATTTAATTTTTGATTGGATGATTAAATGTATTTTGATTGGATGATCGAATGTATTTTAGATTGGATGATTGACTTTGATTGCTGTTAAATAAAAAACTATTCTAAAAAGTTGTCAACATTTTTTATAACTCAAAAAACTTACAGAATCATTTGAAGAAGAATCTTGTAAGATAAAATTTTGTGGATCGGAGTTAATAGAACACAATAAACTT